ACCTTGACCTGAGTTTCATACCTTAACCAAAATTTAATTCAAAATGGATTATGGACTGAAATGCAAACTTTGAAGTAATAAAGTGTTTTTTAAAAGAATGCAGGACAAAATCTTTGAGACGTAGGTCTGTAATAATACTCCTTAGACTGAACATCAAAGTGTAATCCACAGAAAGAAGAACAGATGGGAACCAGCAGTTAGCGTAATGGCTATGTCGCTGGACTCCCACGTAGTGGACCGCGGTTCGCATCCCGGACCCGGTGACTTAAAACTCATGCCGGGCATGTGTGCGTGCATGCCCAACATCCCGAAAGGAGAATGGAGGAGAAGTGATTGCAGCATGACCATCCCACCTGGGAGGTGATTTCTCGCTTTCTGTCTTTATGTCTCTCTCTGTCTGTCTGGCGAGCGCACGCGCCCTATAGCGAAAACCTCTTCAAAAGAAAAAGAAAAACAGATCAATTAGACCTCATCTAAATTAAAAACCTTTACTTTATGAAGTACCTTGTGAAGACAAAGAGAGCCAAGCTACAGAATGAAAGAAAACATGACCAAAGCATGTACTTGATAAAGAAAAAGTAGCCAGAATATAAAGAATTCTCAAAATCAACAATAAAATAAATCAGACTATTTAGGAAATAGGCAAAAGATATGACAGCTATTCCACCAAAGAAGATACACAGATATCAAGTAAGCACAAAAAAGATGTTCACCATTATAACTATTAGGAAAATGAATAACAGAACCACAATAATCTACTACTACATAAAGAATGGCTTAAGTGAAAAATGGTGACAATATCAAATGCTAGCAAGACCATGGAGAAAGTGGACCATTCAGTTGGTTGGAATGAAAAATTGAAAAGCTACTCTAGAAGAAAGATTAGTTGTTTCTTAAACATTAAACACACCACTGGGGCCAGCAGATGGTGTGGTAGTGAAGACACTAGACTCCCACATGGTTGAGTGTGGTAGTGAAGACACTAGACTCCCACATGATTGACCACATGGTCGACCATGGTTCAAGTTCTGGACCTGGTGGCTTTAAAGTTATGCCAGGCATGTGTACCTCGTGCCCAAAATCCCTAGAGGAGAATGGATTTCAGCATAACCATACTCCCAGGGGGTGATTTTTTGCTGTCTTTCTGTCTCTTTCTGGTGAGTGAGTACACATGCCATATAGCAAAAATATATCAAAAATACTTTACTAATATTTTTCTCCTTTCTCTTATGATAAAGGGACCTCTCAGGGGATACCATGATGACATAGCAATTGCAAATCCTAGGTTACATCTGGGAACTTTTAAATGGTTTCCTCCCTTTTCACCCTTAAGAAAAGTGTGCATCTCGCCCAACTATCCTTTTTCAGGGTGTTTATCCAATAGCCTTATCTTTCTTTTCCACTCCCATCACTTTCGAAAAGCCACTAGATCTACAGTATGGCATTCTTATTCTTGTCAGGAGGAGTAAACCTTGGATTATACATGGGAAGAATAAGTGTAGTATAGAAACAATAACAGATTCTTTCTTCTCATGGCCCTCTTAGATTTGCCAGGCCCTTTTATATGCAGAGATGCCCCTATAGTCTAGTCCTCTAGACTTCGGTCACTACATTTCTTTCTGTGCTTTATTCCTTTCTCTTCCCTTGCCCTTTATTTGATCATCACCTCACACAGCCCAGAAGCTAACTCAGAAGCTCTGGTGTCTCTGTGTTATAACACAGCTATGAAGCCTTGGAAACCTAGGAAAAGAGTCCCATAAATTCAGTCAGGAGTGATCTCCCTGGATCCCTGTAGTAACACTGTAGATGATAAGGAATGTTTATGCTGACTTTTCACTGGCAACCTATATACTAATAGTTCTAGTAGGAAATAACTTTGCCTTGCCTGGTGGATTGAACAGATGAATTACTAAGTATACACATAAAAGCAAGGGTCTTCAGTCTTGAAAATGAATTTAATCTTGAAATTAATAATCCTGTTCAAATATTGTTATTAATAAATTGATGGCAAAGTTATATTTCAAAGGAAATATCTCCATGTAAATTTCTGAGTTCCTATCAACCAGTGTCCTCCTCTAATACAATATTCCAATCCAGCCATTCACCTATATTTCTTTTCAAAAGAATGCTGTGCGTTGCTGTATTTTCTAATAATATTATTCTGTTCTCATAATAATTTAGCTATATAAATGTGTGTGATATAACATTAACAGTCTTCTCTCTTGACTTTAATTTTTCTCTGTATTTATATAATATACACACAACAATAAGATTTTTTAAATATTTCGTGCCCAAGATCCCGAGAGGAGAATGGAGGAGAAGGGATTGCAGCGTGACCATCCCCCCTGGGGGGTGATTTCTCGCTTTCTGTCTCTATGTCTCTCTCTGTCTGTCTGGCGAGCGCACGCGCCCTACAGTGAAAATCTCTCCAAAAAAAAAATTTAATATTTTTTAATATTTCTATTTTTAGTAAAAATGAACTCAAATTCTACAAATTTCTTTTCCAAATATATACTGGATCATTTTCCAAGTCTATTTTCACTTATTTTGACTATAGATCACAAATTACACATAGCATGTATTTTTAGAACTCCTCTCTTTGTGGATGATAATTAAATAAGCTTTCTTGAAGTAGAGCTCTTAACTCCCTGAGAGTAGAGCTAAGGACAATGAGAATCCTGTGCCCTAAAAAGCGCAACAGAACTTATCATTTCTGAAATACAATAATAATACTGGATCCAATTTATCAAGTAATTACCGTACCATAATCATATGGTCAGCAATTCACCAGCATGCTTGGATCAGCTCAGATCACCGCTATTTACTGTCCCATTTGAAGGCAAAGGGGATGGACATTTGAAAACTCAGTATCTCATTCATGGTTATCTGGCTAATAATTGGTGATACTTTCAAGATTTTTTTGACTGGTTAGAAAAATGAAATAGTAAAAAAAAAAACCCAAACATCTGAACACCAGAAGTGTTTGTTTATTAAACTTTTTTTCTAATTTTGTGCTTTCTAATGGTTATTTCTAAAGCAATAAATCATATTCATAACCTCCAATTTTTTATTTAATATTTTTCTGCATTGTCTATTTTTGCTTGGCTATGAAAGATGAGAATTTATGTCCTTTTTATGATTATGAGGACTGCTCAATTCCCCTCCAAATTTTTGATACTTACATTATTACTTTTTAATTCTTCTCTTTGTGTAACTTTTATAATAAAAATTTTATTATAAATCTAGAGTATACAAATAATCCATATTCATGGTTCTTTTTAAAAAAGTGTTCCAGGAAACATTTTTAAAGTAAATAAAGAAAAAAAAAAGAACCCTACAATCTCACCACTCTGAGACACTTAACTATTAACATCAATTCCTATTGATACAAAAATTCAGATCTATAGGAGTGTTTAGGTAAACTGGATATTACGTATGAAAATTTGGAGTGAATGTTCAGTTTTTTTGTGTATTTTGCATTATTGCTTACCTATTCCACTTCTCAATTAATCAATGTTAATGACTTCATGCATGTGTCTCCATACCTTGGATGGTTGCTTTAATAACATTAATAAATGTACATATGTATGTAGATTCACATTTTGGGAGTATTTTTGGAAAGATTTTTGCTATAGGGAACATGCACTTGCTATAGAGACAGTGCAAGACAGAGAAACCAAGCAAGAAATCACTCCCCAAGGGTGGATGGCTAAGCCACAATCTCTCCTCCTCCATTCTCCTCTTAGGATTTTGGTCATGTGCACACACGTGCCTGGCATGAGCTTTAAGTCACCTGGTCCAAGACTAGAACCGTGATCAACTACGTAGGAGTCAAGCAATATTACCGTTATTCCATCTGCAGGTTCCACATTTTGAGGTATGTAACTGCTTACTTTTTATAGGATAATAAATCATCTACTTTCAAAAGTCTTGCTTTTGTCAGTCATGCATCATGAAATATTTTCAAGACTACTGTTATAGCTCAAAGTAGACATACATATTTTAATAGCTATTATTGAGTTTCTTTTCAGAAGATTATAACACTTCATATTTTCGTTAGCAATGCGAATACTTTTTCTGCCACTTTCCTTAGTTAAGTGAAAACTCCATGAGTACAGAGATTTTTTTTTCTCTTTTGTTTATGGCTGAATTCTTAGCACTTAGAACAATTCCTGGCACACGTTAGGGACTTGACAAATATTTGTTAAATAAAATAATCTATGAATACGGAGATCATGACACAAGTAGTGTTCACCTTCAGACCCACCACCCTAGTCTCTGCAATTGTAGAGCTAGAAAGAGCAGAGGGAAAGCAGGCCCCGGCTCACTACCAAACCCTCTTGCTGAGCCTGGGGTATGGAGACGGAGCTGCCTCAACCTTCAGAACCACAACCCCAATCTTGGCAGTTGCAGAGCTAGAAGGGGCAGAGGGAAAGCAGAGCCGCTTGGCCCTAGCTCACCTCAAAAGCCTCATGCTGAGCCTAGGATGGGGGAGAAGGGGCTGCTTCAGCATTCGGAACCACCATGTTAGTCCCTGAAATTACAAAGCTAGAAGGTAGAAGGGGATACCTTTCTGGTGCTAATCCACATCACCTATCCAGGAGCAGAAGGAAAGCAGGGTCACCTGACCCCAGCTCACCACCAAAGCTTCCTGCCAAACAGGGTGTGGGAAGAGAGGTTGCCTCGGTCCATGTGCCACTCTGGGCATGGCATGCAATTTTACATACCACCTTACATTATAGTTTCTCTGCTCAGCCCTCAGTCACACAGGGATCAGAAAGTTTGGGGAATATAGGAGCCAAAACATCTGAACATGATGGGCTCTGTAAGAACTCTCTGCACATGCTCACCCCAGCAAAAAAAAAAAAAAAAAAAAAAAAAAAAAATTACATAAATTCTTCTGTATAAATCTGAGCTTATAAATCCCACTGTGGATACCTCACCACCACCCACAGTTGAAGATACTGCCAGAGATAATTCACATCAAAAGGAAACATGTAATACTTACTTGGCAGGGGAAACACCATGACCATGAAGGTGATTTTCCCAGGGCGAGGCTCACCCATTGCACTGCAACTGTGCTGACCTCTGCGATTTCCCCAAATGAGGGAAACTCGGCTGCACAATTAGTGGTAGTGGCAGACTGCATACGCACTCTTCCCTAAAAAAAAAGGAAACATACATACGCATAGTTACAGAAACATACTCTAAAGTAGTAAAAAGTGAATTTATTGCCAGATATCTAAAAATCACAGCAGAACTTCAAGAAATAAGAGTAAAAGCAGGAAATAATCCCCCTCAAAAGAACACACTAACTCTACATCAATAATGGATAAAATATGAGAAATCACAGAAATGTCAGGAAAAAGAATTTAGAATATTTATCCTAACTAAATTAGATGGCATACAAGAAAAATGGACAACCAATCCAAGGAGATGAGAAAGTCTTTCTATAATTTGAAGGAGGAACTCCATAAAGAGATAGGCATCTTGAAAAAGAATCAAACAGTGCTTCTAGAGTTAAAGAATAAGATGCCAGCAGAGGCCAGCAGGTGTCATGGTGGTCAAGTATTGTACTCCCATGCAGCTATGGTTCAAGCTTTAGACATGGTGGCTTGAAAATCATGCCAGGTACTTTGCAATTTCAAGGACTAGGAGGTGGTTCCAATGGCTGAAGCAGCCCTTCCACACCCTAGACTTGGCAGGAGACTTTTGTGGTAACTAGAGCTAAGAGGCCATGCTTTCCCTCTGCTCCTTTTAGCTCTGCAACTATAGGGATCAGGCACCCAAAATCCTGAGAGAAGGGAGGAGAAGGGATTGCAGTGTGCCCATCCTCCTGGGGGTTGGGGTTCTGATTTCTCACTTTTCCTCTCTCCCTACAGTGAGTACACGTACCCTATGCAAAACCTTTTTAAAAAATGCAATCAAAACCTCCTTTTAAAGTACTGAGTACTAGTGACTGTGGCTGCTTCGTTGAATCCTGAGGCTGCCAACTTTCCTATTCATCTGGGCGGTGCAGGGCGCAAAGCGTCGTCGCCATGTCAGAGAAGAAGCAGCCGGTAGACTTGGGTCTCCTGGAGGAGGACGACGCGTTCGAGGAGTTTCCTGCCGAAGATTGGACTGGCTTAGATGAAGATGAAGACGCACATGTCTGGGAGGATAATTGGGATGATGACAATGTAGAGGATGACTTCTCCAATCAGTTACGAGCTGAACTAGAGAAACATGGTTATAAGATGGAAACTTCATAGCATCCTGAAGAAGTATTGAAGTAACCTGTACTTGAACTTTTTACTAAATTCTAGATCAGAAAACCCAGGATGGAACACTTAAGAAAATAAGTTTATTTCATTCTCTGCTTGGATTTATTTTTGTCTTTGTAACAAATAAATAAATAAGAAAGTACTGAGTACTGGCAGATTAGATCATACAGAAGAAAGGATTTCTGATCTTGAAGAAAAAAATTCCTACTTTCTCCAAGCTACTGAGAAAAATGTAAAAATAAACACTGAAAATGAGGACAACATACAGGAAATCCTAGACACCACTAAATGGCCAAATATTAGCGTAATGAATATTTCAGAAAGTGAAGAGATGGGTAAAAGCTTAGAAAATTTCTTTCATGATATATTCATTGAAAATTTTTCAGACTTAGAGAGGTGTACAGAAACCTAAATTCAGGAAATACAAAGAACACCAAATTGATTTAATATAAGATCATCATGAAGGCACATTACAGGCAAACTGATAAAAATCAAAGACAAAAATATTTTGACCACATAATAGGCCACAAAAATAAATATTCCAAAAATGACAAGGTGCTAACAGCAGACCTCTCAACTGAAACAATGCAAGGAAAAAAATGGGAAGACATTTAAAATGCTCAAAGAAAAACAGTTACAGCCAGAATTCTATACCCAGCAAGATTATCCTTCAAATAAGTAGGATAAATTAAATCATTTCCTGATAAACAGAAGCTGAAAGAATTCACCTAAAGCTGGCAAGTCCTACAGGAAATACTTAAAGGAGCAGTACACCTAGAAAATTAAAGGGAGACAAGTAAGATCAAGATAACACAAAACAGGTAGAAAAAAATAAATGACATGGCTAAGTCCACACGTATTGATAATAACCTTGAATATTAATGGAATAAGTTATCCAACTGAAAAACACAGATTGGCCCAATGGATTAAAAAACCTGACATAAATAGAACATATCAACCAGCAACTACAAAATATACTTTTTTAAATCTACGTATGGAAATTTTTTTTAAAAATTATTTTACTTAACTTTATTTATTTGACTTATTTATTTTAATTTGATCAGATAAGTACAAAGTAAGAGAGAGAGAGATGGAAAGTCAGAAAGCAAGCCCCCAGGCCCAGGACTCAAATCACAGTCAGCCATGTGAGAGTCCAGCGTCCTTAACTACCACAGCACCTGCCAGCCTCCATTTTTACAGATTGACCACATAATAGGCCACAAAACAAGCCTCTATAAATTTAAAAGTATAGAAACTATTCCCAGCATCTTCTCTGACCACAGTAGAAATAAACTTGAAATCAATCACGTAAAGAGCCCTGAAAATACACAGAAACACAGAAACTAAACATTCGACTTCTGAACAACTTTTAAACTACTGACAAAATTAAGACTAAAATAAAAGGATTAATTTAAATTAATGATAAATATTTCAAACCACTCTTTATAACCATTGGGACACAGTGAAAGCATTCATAAGAAAAACATTCATAGCTTTTAGTGCTTACAAGAAAAAAATAGAACAGTGGCAAATAAATAATGTTATATCTTTTTTGGGGGGTAAGGAGAAGGTAGTTTATTAAGTAAAAATATATTTCTGAGATGTAGGAACAGACCTGAGCAGACAGAAAGAGAGTGGAAAGGATTTATCATTTTTAACCTAGGTTGTGTGAATTGATCATTGGCTGGGCCCACTGATTGTTCTCATCTCATTGGCTCTATAAAATTGGCTAGGTCCACTGACTTTTCATTGGCTATTTCACATATGACTGGGCACACTGCCTTATCTCATTGGCTACATCAAATGTGGCTTAATCAGCTAGACACCCCCTACTAATCTCTTGCTTACATTACCTTAAATGGGGAATTTTCTGCCCTGATTGCTTTTTCCTATCTAGCTACATGGGCAGATGCTCCAGTCCCCTTACCCACTTCCATTTGCTAGCATGATCCCCATAAATGTTTTCAGGGAACTGAAGGTGAGTGGTTTATATTATGTAACATTTTTAGGCTGGAAAGGGGGCATTGGCCCTACCTATTGGGGATCATAGAACTCTCACCCTCTCTGATCTAGGTGGGAGAGCAGAGCCAGGGGCAGGTTGCTGAGATAGTACCAAAGGGTGTCATGGGAAGAGCTGTCATTGGTGCTGAATGACTTGAAGCAGGATTCAGTGGCAGTTCCAAGGAGTTGATATGCTGTTGTATGGTCATTTGCAACTTTATAGCTTCTAAACAAGAAGAGATAAACTTGATTAGGAGATTTAAAAGGCAGGGCCCAAAAACAAGGGTGAGAATTATCATTGATAGGTGTTCCAAGAGGAGCAACAGACAAAAGCATCATGTTGAAGGCTTAATTCTCATAGTAGCATATGAGGCATGGCCCTTGAGTGATTTGTGAAATGGTCTACAACCAGTAGTAAAAGGACTGAGGTAAACAGAGCTTGGTGGTGTTGACAGAAATAATCAACTCTGCAAAAATAATAATTCATGTAGTTTATTTCTAACCAGAATATGAGTGACCTAGGCCCAGGGAGGAGGCAAAACATGACTTGCTCAGGTCGACTTTGAGAGTGTGAGACAAAGTTTGGAATTTAGTGAAGAGTTTTTTTCCCACTGGTCTTGACAAAAAGGTAGGACTTGTTGAAGTGAAGGCTTGTGGGTTATAGGTTGGTTTTACAGTTTTTAGGTTGGTGATTGGAAAAGGAAGGTGGCTGAGATGAGAAAAGAATGTACTTTAACAGAGATAAGGAGGCTTAATATACATCATGAAGATACTATGTCAGGGACAGAATGTAGGAACAATCCTGTTATCAATGGGCCAAAATGGTCTGCTAGTGTTTGTGAGTTTGACTCCCTCCAGGCCCTCTGAAAAGAATTTTGGAAAATAGGAAAAAAATCAGTCAGACTTTTGTTCTCAGTTCTAAGAGCTATAGGGAGTAATCCAAGAGACAAGTGTGATAACCAGTGGTTTTTCTCAACAGAATTGCTGTGACAGTCAAGAGGGCAGACAACACCTGGCTCAGGATAGCATTGAGGGCCAAAGTGGAGTCTCCCTTGGATTAATGAGGACCCGGCAAGCAAGAAGAAATCTATAGCCTTAAGTGGTGTATATTAATAGGCATGTTGTTCCCAGGAATGACTGAGTAAATTTTGGCTGGGTAAATTAGCTGCCATTGATAACGTACATATTTCTCCTCCTCCCCCCAAAAATGCTCTATTTGCAAAAGCCTACAGAAACAACATCCATTTTCTTTATATTCTCAAGGAACTTGGCTTAATCTAAGGAATACGGAGATTCTTTTTTCCTAGAGAATATTCCTTTCATATCAGAGTAGATTGCCAGGAGAGGGAGATAAGGAGCCATAGTGAGACAGGAGGGCCGTTCCAAAGTGAGGTCAGGCATATTTAAACACCCAAAATCTGACAGATAAGAAGTGGCTGAGATTGTATTTCAACTATTTAGAACTAAGATGATGCCTAAAATGACCCCAAATGGTGCCTGGGATGACCTCTGCCTAACCTGTAGAGTCATCACACCCTCTTTGTACTGTATTAGCATGCTGGATAATCCCATCTGTGCCTGGTAATAATAGAACCCACTCTAATAAGACTAGAAAATGGGAAGGCCAGTGATTTCAGAAAAGTCATCACTTTTTTCCTTAAGACAATAGTGCTCCCTTTCCCTCTGAAAAGGAACTAAACCTCTCATCCATTTTTTCCCACTTGGCTGCTCCCTGTATGGAGAAGCCCATTCTCTACACGTTCTTTAATAAACCTGCCTTCACTCTCAATAGCTCGTTCTTAAAATCTTTCCTATGAAAAAATCTAGGACCTTCCCACCCCCATAACTTTGAGTCTCTATGACAATAGTGTTTTTAATAAAAAAGAAAGGATTAACATCCAACTTACAGTTTCTTCAAGTTTTCCAACAGGGCAGATGAGTCTTCATTATGGGATTTGAATAACCTAAAGAGGTAGACTGCAAGCACCATGACCAGGAGAAAGAAGAAATCCACCAATACATGTAGTTTAGAAAAATATAAGTGTCTTATTGAAAAAGAAAGAGGTCTGCCATTTTTAACGGCTTAAGGCCTTGATGAGTTGGGACAGAGGAGCTTTTAGGCCCATATTGGAGTTGTCCATACCAAGAACCATTAATTCCACTCTGGCTGACTTACCTTGGCCAGGAGACCCAGTGGAATTAAAGATGTAGCAAGGAGAGAAAAAGAAGAGTTTCTTACCCCTACCGACGTAAGGTCAACAGGTTGGTCCGGAGGTGGTTCCTAGCCTTATATGAGAGTTACCCATACCAAGAACTATTAATCCTGTAAGGAATGGGCCGACCATGCAAGAAAACAGAAATGTAGAACCTTTATTGGGAGCACTCCTGGGCGAGATTCGCTGATCTGACAGAAAGGGAGAGAGAGGGAAGGAGACGGGCCAAAGAAGTTGTGTGCTAGGGTGGGGTTTAGTGATTTTTATAAGGGTATAGGGAGGAGCAGTGTCTTAGAGGTAGAAACAGTCCATGTATGGTAAAGATTTAGGACAAGAGCAAACTATTGTGCCACGTACATTCTGGTGACATGTGCAGAGTAGAGTCCTGTGTGCAAAGTAGAGTGCCATATGCAGAGTAGAGTGTACATGCTACATCCAGGTTAGATCTGAGTGCAACACAGGTCTGATGACAGACTAGTTCTGGGTTGCATCAGATGACTGTGGGGTGGCATCCAACCCCCACATCCAAGCTACCCAGGCCTCCAGCCTAACAAATCCCATTTCAGTTGGCCTGCTTTGACTGAGACTCAATGGAAATGAAGATGAAAATGATGTAGAGGTTAAGAAACAGAGTAAAGGGGGCTCCCAATTAGGGGCCTACCTCCTGGTTGGCTCACCACAATATATTTTGTGGGATGGTTTTTGTGATGATATCCAGGTTCTTGGCATTTCAGACAAAGAATTGAATGCAACACACAAATTACATAAGGAAATGGTAGTATATTAAGTAAAAGTACATTCCTAAGAGGTATAAATGGGCCTGAGCAGACAGAAAAAGAGTGGTTCACAAGACCT